ACATCCTACAGTATTTTTACAGTCTTTATTTTACAGTTAAAATAAATGTTTATTAAATAAAGTCTAATGTTACAACTAATCGTGAATCCCTTTAAAGTTTCTAACCTGTGATGTTGCTGCTCCTCAGCTGGAGTCAGGAGRACCTGATCCTGGTCTAACGGGTCCATGCCGGTCCTCACTCTGTCCCCTGCTCTGTGTGTGTTTCAGTTTTTGACGACGGCGATGAGAAGACCCTCCGTCGAACRTCTCTGTGTCTGAAGGGGGGCAGACACTTTGCGGTGGGCGAGGTGAGTCGTCGGCTCTGAAAACAACCCAGTCCAGGAAGTAGAAGAAACTAAAGCTCTCTGTCCCTGCAGACCCTGGACCAGCTGCCGCTCACCAACCCGGAGCACTTCGGCACCCCGGTGATCGGTAAAAAGTCCAACCGAGGCGGGCGGCGCTCCTCCCAGGCTGTGTGAGTTTTACTCCTTTAGCTGTCAGAACTGAGGAGGAGGAGGAGGAGGAGGAGTGATGAAGCTGAGAAATGGTTTCGCTAGTTACCTGATGACATCAGATGATGTCACACTTTCTCTTGGCTGTCTGACCAATCSGCTGCCGGCTGCAGTGATGTCATCTCTGACKTGACTGGTGTCTGAGTTCTGTGAAGCGGGACGGTTTTACCTGCAGAACTCCTGACTTTGTGTTTGTCTCTCAGGGCCGACGAGGACAACGAGAGCTCCTCCAGTGAGGAGGAGGAGGAGGAGAGGAAGAGGCTGAGCGACGAGCTGCTGGGACAGATCTGCAGCATCGAGAACGTGGAGGAGTCCATCAACTGGTTCATGGCTCTGGTAAACACAAACCACATGGTTCTGTTCCAGGTTCTGTTCGGGACATGTGGACCTGCTGGTGTTCTGTGGACCTGCTGATGTTCTGGTTCTGTCTGGGTTCTGCAGGTGGTGTCGTCCAGCTGCAGTGATGAGCTGCTGGTGAAGAAGGATCAGTGTCTGGTCAGGTCCTTCTACGACGGGAAGTTGTGAGTTGAAGTCCAGCTGCTGTTTCATGTCGGATCAGAACCGCCTGCTGGACCGGGTCCAACTGTTTGTTCTGTGTCATCCTGCAGCTTCATTGTTTCAAAGAGACACGCCCACCTGGTCACCTCCATCAGCTTCAACAAGTCTGACTTCTTCAGCAGGAGAGGTGAGGCCTCCTCCTCCTCATTTTTCCTCCTCCTCCTCTGTTCCTCCCTCCTCCTCCTCCTCTGTTCCTCCTCTTCTCCGTTCCTCCTCTCCTCTTTTTTCCTCCTCCTCCTCTGCCCTCCCTCCTCCTCCTCCTCTGTTCCTCCTCTTCTCTGTTCCTCCTCCTCTCCTCTTTTTTCCTCCTCCTCCTCTCCTCTGTTCCTCCTCCTCCTCTTTTTTCCTCCTCCTCCTCTGCCCTCCCTCCTCCTCTGTTCCTCCTCTTCTCTGTTCCTCCTCCTCTTTTTTCCTCCTCTCCTGTTCCTCCTCCTCCTCTTTTTTCTTCCTCCTCCTCCTCCTCTGCCCTCCCTCCTCCGCTCCTCTGTTCCTCCTCCTCCTCCTCCTCTCCTCTTTTCTTCCTCCTCTCCTCTCCTCTGTTCCTCCTCCTGTCCTCAGGCCTCCCTCCTCTCCTCTCCTCTGTTCCTCCTCCTCTCCTCTGTTCCTCCTCCTCCTCTTTTTTCCTCCTCTCCTCTGTTCCTCCTCCTCCTCTTTTTTCCTCCTCTCCTCTGTTCCTCCTCCTCCTCTTTTTTCCTCCTCCTCCTC